TCAAGGGTCTCTGATGCTGCCGAGTGCCAGGCAGCAACTAGAGTCTCCACCGGACTGTGGGCGAGAGGATCAGGAATAACCCCATGTACTTGCAGTAAACCTGATTAGAAAGACTGAAGTAGACATACCATGTTCTACAAAGCAGCCACCTGTTCAGCTTAATGCAATTTTGAGCATGCAGTTAGCAAGCACATTGTTTGAAACTCATCATGTGAATGAACTAAAGGTAGCATGAACTGGCTGTCACATAGTAATTATAAAAACAGAATATATTATTATAAAAAATATAGACGAAACACAATCTGTCACCACCAGTCCATCTGTTAATTGCAAGTGAGAATAATAAAGAGGGAAATTATGTTTTTCAGTCCTTTATCTGCCAATATCTTTTTTGTAGTGAGATTTTTGTGGTGATATTAACAAGACAACCAACTGGAGTTATAGGATGTGAGATGTGAAGACTGATTGTTGGGGAAGGCAAGCAATAAGGTGGGACATAGAAAGCCACTCTTAGGGAAAGCAGTCTTCATGTTTTATACCAATTTGGCCCTGGGGCAGACCTTCAATGATGGCAAATTCCTGTTGCCACTAGATAGATCAGCTTGGAATAAAGCTTGTTTCATCCAGGACTGAATAACAAGTAAGAATGATAGCTTGGGATGTATCACTGAAACCTGGATAGGTGTTGGGACCTGAGTAGTGAACATGGCCCTTAGGTTTAAAATGTGGTTGCTACTTTTGTACCAGCATGACTCCATTGTACAATAGTTTCACCGTCTGAGCTGCTTAATGTTTTGGCCAAACTGCTAATGGACTTCTCAGATTTATTCTACACTCTGCTTTCCCTGGGTGAAGAATTGCAGACAGTTCAAGAATTCATGGCCCTGATCAGAATCCTGAAGGAACAATTTACTGCAAAAGTCACGTGTTACAACGAATCTGGATTTTTGTCTCAAGATAGTGGCAGTGACATCTGGAGGTAGAGAATATTAGCAATCATTTGTCATGTAAGATAACTTTTTAACAGTTATTTGTAATAATTCCCATTGTATAAAGGAAAGATCAATTTGACTGGTCTGTTCCAGACACATGCTGGATTTTGATGAATTTCAGAGGGAATTTGAGATGTTCCTGAAATCTGTTGTCTAGTTTGACTAAGGTTTTACCCATACTTTGAATAGAGGAATGCCAGGAGATGAAATAGCAAAAGAGACACTTGGAAGCCACAAGGAGCTAATTCAACTAAGCATGATTAAAGGTAATTTATTTTTTCTCATAAGAGTGGCAATAACTAATTTTCTGTTCTTATTATACCTGCAAATAGGAAGCCAGTTGCCCTATTCAACGTATCCGACTCCTTCCTAGATAAAAATGGCCAGTGAAACAAATGTAAGGACTATTTAAGGTATCTTCTGGATACAACTGCTTGGATGCCCTTGAAAACCTATGGAGTTAACTGAGGCATATCTGGCTTAATTTTCTGAAAATTGTTTGAATCTTTTGGTCTTCAAGAATTGGAGAGTCCTAGAAGCTATGGATGTGGCTTCTTGTGTATTATACCTATATTTCTTCCAGTAGATCAAAGCTTTGTAAGAGACCAATACGAGATTGGGTCTAGGCAATGGTAATCCTATTGGCTTTAAAAAAGGCAGTGGTTCATCTCCATCTTAAGAAATATGTTGGATCCAATGGTGTGTTACAATTTTTGTTATATCTCTAAACTTTTCCTTTTTTAGGGAAGGCTATTGAGAAGGTGATCAAATGGTAGATTCAGAGGGCTCTGGAAGAAACAGACTACCTGGAACTTTTTCATTTGGGTTTCAGACAAGGATATAATACCAAAACAACACTGATCATACTTGATCATCTCTGGCAGAACTGGAATAAGTATAAGTATAATCTTTATTGTCATTGCGCTTAAATACAACGAAATTGGCTTTAACCTCACTGGGGCAAAATTATAACAGAAACGAAAAAAGAAAGAAAAAGAAAAAAAAAACTAGCGTGTGCGTGGAGTGATTTTGTTGTATTTAAAAGTCTCACAGTCCAAGGATAGAAACTATCTTTAAACCTGTTTGTTCGGCTGGCTATACTTTGATGTCTTCTGCCTGATGGAAGAAGTGCAAAGAGACACTGACCAGGGNTGGCGGCAGGCGTCCTAGAACCTGCCTGCTAGCAAAGGACCTTCCCGAAGTTGCTTTTCTGAGCAACGGGGAGACAGAAGGGACAAAATACTGTCAGGCCGGGACGGGTGTACAGGACCAGGGGCGGGGCAGCTTACTTCCGGGTCCGGTCACCAACCAGTTCGCAAGAACCGCTGGGGACCGGCAGCAACCCACCCTTGGACTGGAGTATATAATAATAAAAATGCTTATATATGAAATCAGTCTTAAGATACAAATTAGGTAAGTCACATTTCATTTTTGCAGGTCCAATTAGCAGGCAACTAACAAATAAGAGCATATTGTACCTTAACAGGATGCAAATTAGTAGTTGTAATGATCTTATGTAGAGGTCCAGCTAGCTTAATTGGAAGCTTGGGTTCTTTATCCAGTCCTTGTGGTTTTGTGTAGTAGTTTAGCTTTTCACGTGGAAAGAAATTGTTGATAACTGTTACACAATCATGCTGACCTAGAGAGAGAAAATGATTTCCCTTTATGAAGTGAAAGTAAATGATTAATTCACAATTAAAACTGATGATTTGGTGATGAAGCATAGATTGCTGAAAAAAATACCAAGGAATACATTGAAAATAATTTTACTAATAACTATAGATTCTAATCAACTCTTCTGTACAGAAAATCTAGGATCTAAAATAGATTCATTTTTGAGATATAATTTTAAATCATTCCCATTTTTCAGGCCAGTGTTTTTTTTAGTAAAATGTGCTGTATCAATCCAATCTAAACAGTATAATCATACAAAGATTTAATATTTCTAGAAATATCTCATAACTATATATCAAAGTACCACAGATTCAGAAATAAAATGATGTATGGACATGTTAGGCTAAAACGAAGAATGCTTTTCCTACCAAAATATTTGATACTTTTTCAATGATTTAATTTAACACATGATGCAAACCAAGCTCCATTCTTTAACATATCTTAAATATTTAGACAAGCAGAAGAGTAGATTATAAATCTAATAAATAAATGAAAAATAGATAAGACATTGTTTGTCCTTACCCACAAAAGCAGCCATCTGAGCTGCAGTTCTCCCCACAGAATTGACGACATCAATCTCTGCTCCAGCCTCTAACACCATCCGGGTTATTTCTTTGTTGCCTAAATGAAGAAACTTTATTTAGACTTTTTAAATATGTTTTCACAAACTGTCGATGAAATAGGTTTCCTCTGATAGATATTAAAACTAACCATTCTACTAACAAGGAAGAAATCAAACACTTGGTTTTCTAACATAATCAATTACACAGGTTCAAATTCTTTTATTTTCCAACTGTACCTTCAGTTGGAAGTATCTGCAGGGATAGAACATAGCCATTTTCTTTTCAAAGATGAAAAAAGTATCAACAAACAAGTATCTTCAACTCTTGCTTTCTAGAACTTTAATTGGCTGCTATTCACTCTCCCATCCACCATTATTTTTATTATGACGCCAAAGACTTGATTTTGCATGTTCTCCAATTAGGAGAAAAAGAAAAGGACGCTGCACCAAATAGCATCCTAATATATGGGTGAGAAAGCAGTCAGTTCTGTGGACATGATTAAGACCCATGTATATTAAATCAAGCTACAAAGTCTTATACCAAATTAAAATGCCCCATCCCGTTGATTTCTTCAAATTCTGTTACCACCTAGTTTTTTCTATCACGACAACACAAATAAAAAGAAAATATAACTTTAAAAGTATATGCCTCATTAAGAGATTATGTCATCAGATAGAATTGAAGATGACCATTTTTACACATTTATGGAGAATAAAATCTTCCTAACAAAATCTTTTCTAAGGGACTCCTTTGTAGTCCCTCAGTAAAGAACAAGTTTTTTCTTCTTTACATAAATAAGAAATTTAAAAAGAAAACACTATTTACCTGAGAGCCCAGCAAACATTAAGGCAGTATATCCATATTCATGATTGTTGCAGTTTACATCAGCTCCATGTTGCATCAATAGTCTGCATATATCAGTTTTACCTTTATATGCTGCGTGCATTAGAGGAGTCATTCCATGCTAATGAGAGAAGGTATAATATAAGTTCCATTTGTTTTCTAGTTAATACGGTAGTACCATAGCAAGATTTATGTTAGGTGAACTAGCAAAAAAGTATTAATTGTTAGAATCCTAAAGGTAAAAATGTGGTGAAGCTCTGACCCAGTAAAAATGCAGGTGAACGGTATAACAATATAATATTTATCTTGCTATAGCTTAACAAAAATATTTTAGCTCCATTGCCTTAATATAACCAAGTTGTTAAAGAAAAGATTTTTTTCTTCTATTTTTAAAGTCATGATTGCTATTTTTATTCCCTTTTATAAATTTATGTAACACTTAGTGTCTGTTTATGTCCACTTGATTTAGCATATTGTCTCATTATTTTAAATTTTATTGCAAATATCTGAGATTTTTAATGGGAAGCACTAGTATGAATAAATAAATAGAACATAAGCTTAAGAGTGCCAACAAAGTTGACCCATCATCCCAGGAAAGAATGTGTAACTACGGGGTGGTAATACTTTCCTCAAACTTCAATAAATACTGATAATAAATGTGTACCTAAAATCAGATCCAAATTTGAATAAAAGGCAGGTGTGGTCTACTAGAATGACTTGCCTTTAGTAGAATATGGCTGCTGGATGAATTAAATCAAATTCTCTGGGCTCTGATGAGCACAGAAGCATTAAATATGGAAGAATATGATAATTTCATTTTCAAGTCATCTGAAAATATGAATTGAAAATAAATATACTTAGCTTTATTTAAGTATACATATTTGGAATTAAAACCAGGTTGAAGAGCCATTTGGACTTTATAGCTTGGAAAGATAGAAGCTTTAAAAATGGTTTCAGAAGATGATTAACATTAATAAAAGAAAAAATATCTTTAAAAGAATGAATGCATTTGGAAATTACATTGTAATCTTTTTATGGCTACAAATTGAGAGCTTATTTTGAATAAACATGTATAGGATCACATTTGAAAGATGATATGATTTGTTTTCAATAAAATATTAAAATATTAAAACCACACATTTCCACTTCATCTAACTACTTTACTATCATTGGAATTGCTTAATGCTGCTACTCATCTTAAAGTAATCATTCTTACTCAAGTTTAAATGCAATTCAGAGTTTGCTAATTCCTGGATCTTAAATTTGTGGCGAAAATTCTTGTTAGGTTTTATTTGGCTTAAGGAAACCTATCAGTTTCAGATCAAAAATGTAATTCTGCCAGTTACCTCATCTAAACAATTCACACGGACAGTCTTGCTGCCAAGGAGTCTTGAAGCTTCTTCGTTGTTTCCTAGAGGGAAAAAGTTTATGAGAAGGAATTATAAAAAAATGGGTATTATATTTGTATCCTGCATTCTTTCCAAATAGTTTAATGTATTTATATATATTTTTCCAAGTCCCCATAAATGTTATAAAGTATTTACATTCACAATTCATATATAATTCTTTGATCCATTTGGTATACAAACAACTTATTAAGTGCTAGGTTTCTGTGCACAAAAGTATAAAGTGGCATTTGCTTATAAGAACCAGTTTGTCTGAAAATAATGATGCAAAAGAATCTAATAATGCTTACTAAGAAGAATCCCCTAGTGAAGGGAATTCTAATTCTGAATAAGAATTTAATTTCCATTCTGTTCCTATAGACAGAAAAATTAAAGCATATAATCTAAATATTGATAGTATTTAAAAATTTGTATCAGGCAATTTTACAGTACCATGAAAAGGGACGAAGGGGATTTTTTAATTTCACCAATATTTCTTAATTCTATATATTATACAAATAAAAATAATTGGCGAATTAGTACCACTTCTCAATTTTATGTATTACCGTTAATTTTATTTAGCCGAGCTATACCAAGAAAAACAGAATAGTTAAATACAGGTAGTCCTCGACTTACAATAGTTTATTTAGTGACCATCTGAAGTTACGACACTGGAAAAAGTGATTTATGACCATTTTCACACTTACATCTTTGCAGCATTCCCATGGTCATGTGATCAAAATTCAAATGCTTGGCAACTGATTCATATTTATGACAGTTGCAGTGTTCTAGGGTTATGTGATCACCTTTTGCGGCTTTCCGACAAGCAAAGGTAATGGGTAAGCTAGATTCACTTCGCACCCATGTTACTCACTTAACAACTGTAGTGATTCACTTAACAAATGTGACAAGAAAGTTCGTAAAATGTAGCAAAATGCACTTAACAACATATAGCAACAGAAACTTTGGGCTCAATTGTGGTTTATAAGTCAAAGACTTCCTGTAGTTGATAACTGAAATAGTTGAAAGCAAAGATATGAAGTCAAACATCTAACATGAATTCCCAAAGTTCACATTTGGAGCTAAAAATACCATAATTCTGGCAGCAAGCATTTTTTTCTTGGAAAGATATTCTATTTTTCATCATTGCTTAAAAAATCCTCCATTATATCAACTCCATTGCCATATTTGGAAAGGCCAATAAAAGAAGATCCTCAGATTATATTTTTTCAGTGTGAAGATGCACAATATAATCATGCTTCCTAATATAAGAGAATGTTATGGCTGAAGATTCTGAACCATTTTTGAAGGCAGGCCCCTGCAGATTTCAATATTTCAAATGGGATGTTTCTATTTGAGAGCATAATTATTATAAGACTACTACCCCAGTAGAGTCATTGTTGGAAGCATCAATCTAACCTGATGGATGATACACCATTTTAAATTCTAAGATTAACAATGAATTTAGATAAAATATGAATCTAAACCTTAGGAGCATTAAGGAAAATACAGTTTTGTTTGTTTGTTTATTAGTATTTATAGGCCGCCCTTTTCCCTAAGGGGACTCAGGGCGGTTTACATAAAATAAGGAAGGGAGG